GGATCTTCAAGGACGATTAGGTGCCACCTCACCACTCGGCAGAGCTCCAGAAATGAGAAGCGCTGGAGGTTGATTGTTTGAAGCCTCACCACTCGGCGAAACTCCAGGAAGAAGAGAAGCCGGAGGTTGATCATTTGGAGCTTCACTACGCGGTACAGCCCCAGAAGACGAAGGCAAATGTTGTTGGAACAAACCCACAAACCTCCGATGATCAAGTAAAGTCTGACCATCAGATTCCTGCATTTGGTCAATTTTCCTCTTCATGTTTATGGCATAGTTGTGTGCGAGCTTGTGCAACTGTTTATTCTCATGCTTGAGCCCCCTAATCTCCTATTTGAGACTCATCACTTCAGCCGCCAACGATTCAACTTGACGGGTTCGAGCAAATAGGCGTTGGGCCATGTTGGACACAGAACCTGCACACTGCACACTGAGAGCCAGAGAATCCTTAACAGCCAACTCATCAGACCGTTTGGAAAGTAGTCTGTTATCTCTGGGAGTGACAAGGTTTCGGGCCACCACCGCAGCGGTCATATCATTCTTCACCACCGAATCCCCAACCGTAAGAGGACCAGTAGGGGATATGAAGGATGGGCGCCATATGTTGTCTGGAGAAGGCGGGACTGCCTCTTCACCAAGATTCAAGTCAAAACGACGATCGGAGGGTCCTGACATTTTTCAAAGTGTTGAAGAAAGAAGAGGTCGGACGAATCAAGATCTTAGAAGTGCAAGAAGGGAGTTTTCACAAGTAAAATTCAAGTGTGCTTTGAAACGAACAGCGTGCCTCTATAAAAAATCACACTCGACGGGATTTCAGAGATCGAAGAGCGAGCTCAGAATTCGAAGAGGCCATCAAAAATCGAAGGCAAGCTCAAAATCGGAGAAGCATCTTGCTTTTCCAGACGCAATCGGCAGCCCGTCACACGCAAACTCAGCTTTGCGAAAATCACGAGCAATTTGTCGAAGCGAAAGCCGATCTCCAGTTATCGAAGAAGGCGCCAGTCCTTTTTCAGGCTGCGTCACACCTGTCACAATGCAACACGCAGCTTGGCGGAAATCACGGGCAAATTGTTAAAAGCGCCATCCCAGATATCAAAGAGCGCCAAGTAAATTTTCAGCCTCGTCAGCACCACGTCACGCGCAAACTCTCAGCTTGTGCGGGGAAATCACGGGCAATTTGTCGAAGCGCCGATCCCAAGATATCGAAAGCCGCGCAGTTTTCAGCTGCTTTCCACAGCCTCAGCGTCAACAACACCTGTCAATGCCACCATCAAGAGGCCCTTTCAGCGGAAATCACCGGGCAAGCTTTTGTTAAAAAGCGGCCGGCAATCCCAGATATCAAAAAGAGGCGTCAGTCGTCTTTCCAGAGCGGCGTCCGCGATCCATTTCAGCCCTCATGTTCACAATCGCATCAACATGCACACTGTCAGCTTTTGCGGAAAATCACGGGCAATTTACGTTCAAGCGCGCATAGAATTCCCAGATATCGAAGAGGTGCGTGTACAATTCTGCCACCAGGTTGCAGGCCCTCACATAATCACCGGCTTTGGGCCGGCAACATCGCACGCCGGTTCATATTCGAAGACCAGTATGAAAACGCGAGGCTTACCTCAGCTGAAGGAAGAAAACCAACGTAAGGTTTACTGTCGGCATCACGCAAGTTGCAGACATGAACAAGGAAAGAATTAAGACCTTAGCAGTGGGACCACCAGCCAATAATATTCACTTCCATTATTCCTCAGAGTCTTCACCTTCATCTCCTTCTACGACATTCGAGTCATTCAATTCCTGTCCTTAAAAACAAATGAACACCAAAGCAAAGTATCTCATATCACTAGGTAGAAAGCAAAGAAGACTTATCATATCATGCTCCCTCCCTTTCCTTTCCTTTGTCCTTGTTCTTACTTACAAAGACAAGGATAAAGAAGAAAAAATATTGACCTCCACTCACTCAAACTCGGGTAAGGACCCACCGACTGCTTGAAACCCTCCCTGATTGCCTACCTGGCACACTGCTCTAAGTACCCCCCCTAACCTCCAAATTGCTGCTGTACTTTCCAAAAGCTGGGAAGCTGCTAAATCTGATGGAGAACAGAAGGCAAGTGAAATGATATTACCCTTGCAGCATGTGGAGACAAAGGGCAAAGGAACAAGCAGAGAAGAATGCGGTCTGCACGGTCAACTCAGCAGAAAGGAGTCCGAACTGAGGAACTCGAGAAAGCCAACATCATGCCTGAAGAACAAGCAGAGAAGAATGCAGCATGCACAGTCAACTCAGCATAAAGAGTCTGAGATGAAGAACTCGAGAAGCTGCCACATCTGCCTGAAGAAACAAGCAGAGAAGAATGCAGCATGCACAGTCAACTCAGCAGAAAGAGTCTGAGATGAAGAACTCGAGAAGATGCCGCATCTGCCTGAGGACGGTGAACTCGTTTTGACCCTCAAATTCTTGGGTCGACTTACTAGGCGTTGTGGGCTGCACGTGCCGATTCACCACCCTTGAATCAAATCCTTAAGACCAAGTCACCAACTGAAGAAGAGCCCATCAATCTTGAAGATCATACCGTTGACCAAACTGCTCAGGTGTGAAATTAGAAAGATTGAACAAAAGCAACAAGTCGTCACCTTCACCTCGTGCCTGCTTGCCATGTGTTCGAGTCAGCTTTCAAGAATCAAGCATTAACGGCCCTTGAAGAAACTTCCAGCCAAATTCAAAATCAAGCATCGACGGCCCGGAAGAAACACAAGTCCGATTCAAGATTAAGTGTCTACCACCCTTGAATCAAAAACCTAGTTCAAGAATAAGCTGTGGAAAATCAACAATTGAAGGAATCCAGAAAATCCTTCAACCCAGTTCAAGATCAAAGCTGTGGAAAGTCAACAAGCGCAACAAAATACGTGCCGATTCACCCACTACCAAAGCCAAAGATCATCTACCACATGAAGCTCCTTGTGGTCCAATTTCAACCTTCAAGATCAAGCCTCGACGGCCCTTAAAGAAATTTCAAAAAAAAAGTTCAAAAACAAGCCTCAACGGGCCTTGAAAGAAATCTCAAGCCCAATTCAAGATCAAGCTTCAACGGCCCTTGAAGAAATCTCCAACCCAATTCAAGATCAAGCCTCGACGGCCCTTGGATCAACATCTACAGTAAGGGACTTCAAAACGCATCTCCTACACGTGACAAGCACATGTATACGACGTGCCTTGAAGTGGGGGCATTTGTAGACATCGAATTTCGGTAAATAAATGTTGACCGAAATCAAAATGTCAACGCTCATGTATTACATAAATTTTACACGTAGCGTGTGACTCACAAAAAATTGAAATGAGTTGGAAAAGTCATCAAATAGGACACGTGTCAACACTTGGCAGAAACGACTTATTTCATCTGGGATTATATTCAAATTAGGCCTTGGAAAAATTCTATAAATACAAGCCCATTTCATTCATTTGGGGAAGAACCAAAATCATTAGGCAAAACTCTTGAAGCCTGAAGGTCTGAAACTCCGAAGCTCTCAAGCATTCAGGTTCCCGAAGAATAAAGAAAGCGTTTCTTCGTTCATCGGTCTTCCAAGATCAAGCCCGACGGCCTTGGATCAACAATCGTCCACCTTCAAGATCAAGCCCGACGGCCCTTGAAGAAAGTTTCTTCGTTCTTCGTTCTTCTTCTTCAAGATCAAGCCCCGACGGCCCTTGGATCAACCATCCACCAATTCAAGATCAAGCCCCGACGGCCCTTGAAGAAAGCACAATCGTTCATCATCCGTTCATCCAAGATCAAGCCCCAACGGCCATTTGGGATCAACAACGTCGACAAATCCACACATCCAACCGTTCTTCAGATCAAGCCCAAAAGCCCTTGGAGATCGTTCGTCACCGTTCTTCAAGATCAAGCCAAAAGCCCTTAAGATCTGTTATCACTGTTCTTCAAGATCAAGCCCAAAAAAGCTTGGAGATCCGTTTGTCACTGTTCTTCAAAGATCAAGCCCAAAGCCCTTTGAAGATCCACTCAAATCCACCTTCAAAGATCAAGCCCACGGCCTTTGAAGAAACTTCCAACAGTTCATCAAGATCAAGCCTCGACGGCCTTGGATCAATGAAATATCCACAAATCAACACCTTACGGAGATCGAATCAGAGGATCAAAATAGAGAGAGATTGTAACCCAAAATCATCAAAATACAAATATTTGTTTGTGCACGTTGTTCTTGTCTCTTTCGTTTCAGGAATTTTCCGTGTTCACAGTTTCATGGTGGTATACTTATGGAAATGGTGTATCTAATTTGCAAATGATGAATTTACTACAAGTTCATCCAATACTATGGAAATAGTGTACCTAATTTGCATTTTATCATTATTTTATTATCCATACAAGTATAGTTTTTTTTTAGGTGTCAATATGCACTTATTTACAAGATATACAAAAAATTTACCTAAATCCGCCTAGGCCGCCTAGGCGCCCGCCTAGCCGCCTAGGCGCTAGGCGCTAGCCCGCCGCCCGACTAGCGCCTAGCGTTTTTTAGAACCTTGGGTTTTCTTCCTTTTTCCCATTTTAACATCAGTTATTCGGTGAATATTTTTATAGAAATTTATTGTAATCCGATATATCTCAAATAGATCTATTTACAAGTTCAACAAGAATTCAATTCTAACTCCTCTTCATTCCAACCCATCAACAATTCAATTCATCCCATTTTAATTACCCATTAGTAAAGATTTTTTAGTAGGTCGAGAACATGATCTGCTTCAATAACTGTAATTATACATGATCTGGTTCACCAATTTGATGACCTTCAGTGGGGATTGCCTACAAAATACTTGTACGTTTTTAATACAATCATCATCTTCTAATGGTCAAGTATAATCATGTAAATATATGTATTAATAAAATCATTATCATCGATAGTGATGTATTAATACATATAATTATTGTATCCAAATCCCCTTTGTGATGTCACTTAGTATTACGGTCTAGTAGTATTTCTCTTCACTTATAAGTGAGAGGTCTTAAGTTTGATTCTCGCCAAAGACAAATTTGAACTACATTATTGCTAACCATTGTGAAGCCTAACCATCTCTTTTACCTCTTAGTGTAATGTCGTTACTTTATTATAAATAAATAAATAAATAACCGTTTGTGATAAAAAAAAATTTAAAAAAATAAAAAAATAAAAGAGAAAAACCGGTGCCACTTTCATTGGTGTGTGTGACCAAAGAACTAATCAAAGTGAGGCAAAATTTATTCCCTCTGGTCGCTCCCTCTCTAATGAACCAGCTGACGCTTCTTTTGCTTTCTCAACCTGGCCATCCGTTCCTTTCTTTCTTCGGCTTCTATCAACCTAGCTTGCTCTTCATCCTCTCTTCTCGCAATTAGCGCGCTACAAGTTCAAAATAATATATAATCAGCCATACATATGTTTGAAATGCTAAAAAAAAAAACATGTTCGTATTTTGGATATCCGTATAACCATCGAAGCCCGTTGAAGTTACTATTTCCTGCAAATTAAAGGGCGTTACATCACGATTCTTACCTTCTTCTCTCTTCCCTCTGAATATCTTCAAAACCTGCCTCCATATCACTATCGTCTTCAGCATCACCAGCAAATCTATCGGGATTATAACTGCAGAAATTTGGAATTGATCATCGGGAATATGTGAAAAATAACAACTCCCTAACCAACGTAAATATATTTAGAATGTTCACCACATTAACATAATGAAATTTGGACATAAAAGTTTTGTGGGAGTAAAGATTACCGAAACATTTTTCTTATCACATCACGAACATTCCCGGCCTCAGGGTCATACTGATCATCGGAACACCGTCTTTTTTTCTTGGGACGATTATCATACATAGTACGGGGTGAGGTTTGCTTTTGCAATTGTTGCATGCTCATCTGCTAAAATCCACAATAGGTAAAGGATATTACGCATTATCATAAAAGACGACTGGTCTTAAAAGAATGAACTATGCGAAGGAAAAGCATAAATCTAGCAGATGGTGAGTGAGCTTCAAACCTGAGGTTTTGACAATCCTGTCGACTGTCTTGCTTTGGGCTTAGTATACGGCATATGTACTTCCGCTTTTTGTGTCAGGTGCTGCCTTGAAACAGATGACTGCAACTTTGGAGGGAGTGGTTTGTGCAAACCAGACGTGGTGGAATTCTTCACACCAGGTGCAGAAGTCTTCCTCTCAGTAGTTGAAGCAGACATCTTCAAAGGAAGCCCTTTTGACCCTAAAGGCCGGCCCGACCCATTTTCATTGCTTTCAAGCTGCTTCCTAGTGCCCATTGATTTTGAATCAATTCTTCTACGTGCAGAAATTAACTTAGTGGACCCAACTTCAGAATGCATCTGTTCTTTCATAGTCGGCGGTTTCCTTCCATTACTTTCCAGTGACTGTTTGATTTTCATCGCCATATGATTTGACCTCACCCCTTCAACATCATAATAAAAAAAACCTTTATAAGATCTTCAGTGAACAAAAGAAAGTTAGCGGCATAGAAAAATGCCCAACAGAAAGATCAGATGCAGAATATCAACACACCAGAGTTTGGAAGCGAGACATTTTGAGGGGGACAATCCTTGGCAGGAGCTGGACAGTCTGCATCCTTAGAGAAAAATTGTGAGTAATCTCTCATTTCCCTAATCATTTGAACTTTAGTTTTTTTCTGTACATACCAGAAATCCCATTAATAGATAATAAGACAAGTAGAATACAAATCCAGACTTTAAGGACAACTAATATACGATTTGCTCCAATACCTCATTCATGACTTTGGGTTTCTGGCCATATGATACAGATTTTGATCCAGAAGATGTCGATCCAGAGCTTTTCTTGTCCTATAGAGGAGAGTCGGACCAATCAAAATACATTAAAATCCAAATATCAATTAAAGCACAGGAATGCTTAATAACAGTGGAAGAGCGTACGTGAACGTTTAACTATTAAGTACATCAATGCAAGAGTTTGCACGAGAAGAAACGCCAAAAGGAGAGGATTCCTAGCAAATGCTTAGAAAGTAAGAGCGAGTTTTTACTTTAGGTTGACAACATCATTTACAAAAAGAAAACTCTACTAAAACCTAAATTGAATTATGGATATCATAAATAGTGAAAATATTGAAAATAACAAGGGAGATCTATACCCTATAGTTTAGGAGCTTAGAGCTCATGAATTCATCTGCTATTAAAAAGGAGGACTGCAAAGTGATTTACAAATGTAAAAATAAAAAATAAAAAATAAAAAATCACTAAGCATCATATCAAATAAATAGAACTTAAATCAATTCCTCAGAGCAAAGTAAAGTTCTACAATTTCCTAATAGATAACATACCACTAAATATTAGAAGTTTCAGGACACCACAATGGAAAATCAAAACCATCAAGAAGAGCAGACATAACAGGTGGAGAAAAGGATAAGATATGATAAAGTATTCCAGGACAAGCTGAAAGATTAACATAATACGTACAAGTTGAAGGGGATTAACCCTAGATGAGAGTTGCTGGGTCACTTGAATTACTCTCTGAGAGATAACTGGTTGATATGGGCCAAAAAAAGATCCGTAACTGCGGGATAAGTAGAAACAATTTAAAACACCTTTCAGAATTATACCTTGCAACCATGAAATTTCAACAGAGTGATACCCCTTTGAAAAAATTAACGTGTCAAAAAAAGGAAAAAAAAACCTGTACCCGATGCTGCTTCAAATAAAAATAAAATACCACGAAGAAAATCAATACATTAAGCAACTATTTGGTTGAATTCATTGCTTTAATATAATTCAAATAACATGATCAAATATTGTCATCAGTATAGATTTAGATATATATATATATATATATATATATATATGAGACTCAAAATGTCCTTGCAACGACCATAATGGATTTAAAACAAAAATAAGTTCAAACCCTCTAAAAGAGGGATGAAATTAGTGGTAGGAAAGCCAAAGACCATCACCACCGTCCTTATAATGTAAAGAAATCTGAGTTTTTTATCACATGAAAAGAGGCAGGAACAGTAGTCACTCACTTATCATAGGGTAGCTTCTTCTTTCCATAGGACTTGGCTTGAGAAGAACCACCATCTATCTCCAACTTCTTTCTATGTTGTTCTTTCAAGCACTGTCTAAAATCAAGACGTGCCACAGTTACGTTGGTGCGATCTGTATCTTTTTTTCCATCCTCCGCTTCCCCATATCCCTCGTCCTCATAATCATCATATTCTTTGACTGATTGATAGCATTCCTACACGAAAGCAACCACCAGATAAACAGAAATACTAATGTGATTCAATAACAAGGAAAGGAAAAAAACAGCTTAGGAATAACGATAATCAAAATGTCAACAGTAATCGCATATAATTAAAGACAGTTTCAAAGTTTACTTACATCTCTACCATATCCCCGCATTTTCCAACTCGAATTAAACAATTAACTACACTGGGTACCTGGAAATCACAAAAAAGAACCCTAACTTCAATCTGCTGGGCAGAAAATACCTATGCAAAATCTGTAATATCGTCAATTCAAAGAATTACAAACGAGAGAACGCTGAAAGAATCCACAATTTGCTTCAATATCATGCTAAAAAGGAAATTCAGATACCACATATTTTCGGCTGGTAGCAAGAACCGATCAACTCACCAGAAAGTCGTTCCTTTCATACTCAAAGATGATGCAAGGCCGAAGAATTCGAAATGTACAGAAATCAATCGTTGCTGAGCCCTAACCTAATCGCCGGATCCCTTCAAAACATCAAAACCGAATCAAAGCAGGTCAGAATTTTGTGTTCTAATTAAAACATCATAATCAACAGACTAATTGAAAGAGTTTTTTTAATTTTACCAAAAAAAAAAAAGAGTTTTTTTAATAAAAATAAATAAAAATTCAACCGCTTACATACCTTTCCAAGTAGATAAACCACAAATTTCAGAAAGAAGATGGAAAAAACGCGAGATGAAACCCTAACGCTAACTGATAGATTTTCACTAATCTGGATTAATTGGTGTGAGATAGGGAGAGGCGATGGATTGCGCGTTTCTGCGATTGAGTTTTGAGGTTAGAATTTCCACTCCCCAATTAAATTATTTAAATCTTTATGTTTGATCTCAGCTATTTATTATATTTGAAGACTATGAACATTTTAATCATAAATTTAATCTCCATAATTATTAAATCTTTATGCTTGACCTCAGCTATTTATTATAAGATTTAATGGATATTAATCCGTTACTAACGCGGTGAATAATTTGATATTCAAAATACTTAGACGTATTGGTTTGAGTAATTATGGAGTCCTAATTTCGTAAGGAGCAAGCATCATAACGGCCACATTAATTAATTTAAATCAATTAAATTAATGGAGATAAGAGTTCTCCCCGAGTGTGAGAGTTTTTCTCTCTTCTTGAGAGTCTTTCCCACCTTTAGTGTGAGTAGCTTTCATCCCGACGATTTCGTTGTCGTTGGCCTTTGCCGTGGCGAGGGTCAGTGGATGCTCTGGCCACTTTCTTTCTTCTTCCTCCTTTCATTCTGTTTGTACCATACTTGACCAATCCCGAAACTACCGAGCACCGGCCAACGCTATACTGTCAAGGACCCAGAAGAGTTCCCCTCCGACCAGGAGGCCAATCACTACTCGACACGTGTCAAGATTAGAAGCCAATCAGAGCGCAGCACGTGTCGACATCAAGAACCAATCAACATGAACAATGTCAATGTGACAAAGCTACCAAGTTTTTCCTATAAAATAGGGGTCATTCCCCCACAATATGGCCTAATGCCATTTGTGTAAAAATCATTCACAAGAACTCACTAAATTGAGAGCTTGATCCTTTGTACTTGTGTAAGCCCTTCACTACTAATAAGAATCCTCTATCTGGGACGTAGCCAATCTGGGTGAACCACGTACATCCTGTGTTTGCTTCTCTGTCTCTATTCATTTACGTACTTATCCTCACTAGTGACCGAAGCAACCAAGCGAAGGTCACAAACCTGACACTTTCTGTTGTAACCAAAGTTCTTCGCTGATTTTTGTGCATCAACATTTGGCGCCGTCTGTGGAAACGACACTTATTCCTCTCTCTCAGCTGTGTCAGCTGGTTTCTATCATTCGTACACTTTCTTTNGCTCTTC